TGTTACTCCTCAAGATAGCTCTGATTATAATAACACTTGCCAATTATATAACCAAATGTATTTGTTTTAATTCACATTTTTTGGGCACCTGGAGTGGAGGAGAAGTATCGGTGACAATGGGATACGGTCTTTTCGTGCCAATGTGTTCGATAACTTCAAGTGAAGAAACGTGTAATATCTCATGTTTTAAGATGCAAGACCATAATACGTTACTAAAAAGTGTAAAAAGTATTATGAATTTAGGTAAGGATAGTAACATTTTCGTTTTGCCCAAGAATAGTATTTAACGATAATACACATTTCATATTTATCTTAACGTTAAAGAGTAGTACACAAAGCCGCAAAGCTTTTCCTATTTTGGACTTAATATTTTGTAACCCAATAAGATGGCTAAAATTAATAAAAAAAAACCTATAATAAAAATATATTACATATTTACAATAAAATAAATAATTTCAAAAATCTAAAGACAGGAATCAAAAAACGAAACTTCCGGACTTGAAGAGTCTTTGTTATCATCGCCACTTTTACGACACTCTTCTTTAATGTGATAATAAAACCACCATTGATCATGAAGATCCCCACTATTACGATTCGTATGCTTTTTGAGTACACTTCGAATTACAGTTATCCATCGAGATTTCTCTTTTTGGCTACTTGCCTGTAAGATAAAAGTTGCGCGACCATTGTGAATCGAGGTGCACTCAAATAAATTCGAATATCCTGAAAAAAACAATCATTGTATTAATGAGGCGTTTAAAAAAAGCAAATAATTTTTTGTGATAGTAAAAACCTTGATCATCTGGTCTTTCCATCACATGTGTAATCTTTGCAGGTGGAACCAATAATTTATAAACCTCTTCTTTCTCTTGTTTACGATTCTTTTGTTTTCGTTTTTGTGTCCATAACACCAGATCATCGAACAGGAAAACATATAGAGAGATCGAACTTTCATTTCCGAATGAGAATAATGGGAAATGAGGTGATGATCCGGAAGAAACTTGTTTTGTTGTGGGTATCATAAGACGTTTTAAAGCACCTTCGTGTATCAGTTGACGATTTGGTATTGCAAGTTTAAATGGCTAGTTTAAATAAGTATGTGAATATTTATTAAAGCTCAAATATGTTTAGATAGTTGAAATAAAAAATACCGATAGCCCCTTCATCGTCAATTCTAATCTCGTAAGTCTATCAAGTGTATCTTCTTTACGTTTCTCATCTTCTAATTTCCGTATTAAAGAATCCATTTGCTTATATAATTGGCAAGTGTTATTATAATCAGAGCTATCTTGAGGAGTAACATCCAACAACCCCTATATATTATAATTATTGATGTCATTAAACTGTCTCTTAGGATAACATAAACACATTCTTCTTTTACCTTAAACAATAAAGGATATTTAGCTAGACGTTGAACTATGAGAAGTTCTCAATAGTTATTAATACTGCATTTACATCTGCATCAACCATGATAAAGAATCAATTTTAATAATCACCTGGGGCAATTAAAAATGCTTGTAAAGGCAATTTACGACAATCTGGTAATTTTTCTCGTTCCTTTGAAAAACCAAAAGAAACTGTCATCTTAGACATTACTCAGGATCATTCATATACTCATTAAGATCAGAATCATCTACTAACCTTTAGAAAGGCACCGTATGCAGTTTGATTTTGGATCATTTTATCGATTTGCTGCGTAGCGTTGGTATAATTAACCAAATACGCCGAATAGATATCGAATCTTTCAACCTTAAAAAAATCATCATATAACTATTTATTACAGTTTATAGTAATAAATCTATAACATTGTTATCAAAAAATATCCTTACAAAAGGAAGAAATACTTCAGATATACATTGCACAACAGGGTGCTGCAGATTCTGCCTAGTTTGCAAGGACTGCATGAGAATAGGTTAGTCTAAAGAGGAAACATATGCATTTGCATATATCACATCCCTACTAAAAAAGGCTCACGCACCATATAAAGATGTTCATGCAATCGAATCATATCTGCAATATTACTAAACATCCGCACGATTTCGATAGGAACATATATTCCATCAACTGGCGTCTTACCGAAGTTCTATAAAAAATTTTATGGTGAAATCACAAGAGTTAAAATCGAAAATAGTAATTCAAAACAAACCTTATGAACCAACTTCAAATCACTCAAGTATTCTTTTTCTGTCAGAACTATTTCATTGATAATTTCTTGCCGTTTTTGCTCTTTCGAAGTAAGATTTAGTGTGAGTAGTTGTTGTTTGTTCAAACGATCGCGCCATTTATCTTTTTGTCGTGCGGCTATATCTGTTCTTTTTAAGGTTTTTTGTATATCAAGTATCGAGGGTGTTCGAGCCATCTTATTATAATGGAAGAAAGTAGAGATAGTATGAATGTCGACAGATAAGGGGGAATTAAATTCATTTCTGATGTTGCATGACTATACAATCAGATGTCTAGTGATACATGAACGACGGTAGATCAATGTTACTCATTATTGATAAAGTGATAAATGAAATTTTATTCAATTTCGTGCTTGATTGCTTTTTAATATTAAAGTAATTATGTATGTTTGACCAAATATTATTTGTGAACATTTCTTTTGTACGATAATAACAACTAAGTATACAACCAAAATTTTACAAAAATAGAAAAAAGAAAGACAAAAATGGTTTCTCATTAGATGCTGAATTGTAATTATGGATTTGAAGAAATAAAAGAAATCAATTTACGAGCTTATGATGGTAATTAAGGGAAATCTCGATTGTGAAGGAAATGATAATGAAGATGATGATGATAATAAAATGAATGATACTGATTTTTTGTCTTGGATTAATAACTATAAATTATAATATTATAAACAAAATTATTGGGCTAGATAATTTAAGATGATAAAAAGAAAATTCGAATATGCCCCTCATCATTTTTTATTGAAAAGATAGCTCACGCCCAAAGCTACCTTTAGAAAATAATGATAATAAAGTCTTTAATGTCCACTTCATAGAGCATCATCCTTCGAATTAAACCCAGAGCTTGCTGAAATAAATTTGTCTCGTTCCGCAAAATTTGCGTTTAGCGGTGTTTCTAGTTAGCAGTCCTTGTTAATTTCTTTTCTGGGCTTATCTTTCCTTTGTCCAATAGTTCGAATTCGGGTAATTTTTTTATTTATTTTCTCGCTCTTACACCTCCCTACCTTCTCAGCTTCGCTTTTTTCTCACCTAAATTGGTTTTTTTTTTTTACAAAAGAAAAGTTTATTTTTTTTTTAACTAACATACAAATTTACAAAATTTCCTCCGGCAGCTAACCGCCCCTCGAATGCCATTTGTACATCTTCATCAGAATTAATGGTAACATGATCTCCATCTTCATCCTGATACTTTATGCGTATCGGGATGCTATCATCTCGGCCAGTTGTGACTAATCTAATCTTGCGCTCAATACGTTCACATAAGTCTCGATATTCAATTTCTTGGGGAACAACAATAACAAAAATTTCGCCAGAATAATTAACTTTAATTTTCATGGAGATGCCAAGTCCAACATTTGCTTGGGCGTAATGTTTTCCGTTGATTGAACCATTAGAAATCGGTGATGTGAGTGAATGTGAGGAAGCGCTACCGGTTGGACTGGCTGTCGAGGCCCCAACAGATTGTTGTGACGAAGTACTTGAACCACTATGACGTTGTAGAGTAGCCAATGAGTGAAATTCATTACTGTTTGATAGTGGTATATTTCCATTATTAGGTAAGTCAGGCACAAGTTCATCATAAGTTTCAGGGATAGCCTGAATATTTGGACTGCTTTGAGATCGTTTTCGCATAGACTTATTTTGTATGTTGCTACCAACATTTTGTTGTTGCAATGGTAAAGATCCGTTAGTTTGCTGAAATGTCTGGCCAGAAGCAGCACTATGTGATAATGTTCGTTGAATTGGCGGCGGAGGCGTAATATAATCATCATCCTCTGTTGACATCATGAATTTGGCAATAGAATCAGCAAAATGCTCACTGTTTCTACGTTGCAATATGCCATGTGGATGAGATCCCGTACTAGTACTACTACGCGTGGATTGCGGTGAAGAAGCAGGATTTGAGGGGGGTGAACTCGGAAGATAATTATTATTAGAATAAGATATATTAGATGATGAGGCAGCGTATTCATTTGGTAGAACAACATTGGATGGGAAAGAGGCCATTGTAGGGGGCGCAGTTGTTGATCCATTACGGGGTAATGGTGGCATTGACATATTATTGGGATGTCGAGGCAAATGATGATGCATTTGTTGTTGCTGAGGTAAATTAGGTAAAGGTGGCGTATTTGATCTCCAATTATAAGGAGCTGATATATTTTCATCTCGTGTTTTCCGGCCATTGTACTGAGGCATTTGACCATAAGGTAATGATTGGCTTCGGGATTGCTTGAGGGTCCAATCCTCGTTGTAATCATCATCATCCTCCTCGTCATCATCATCATCATCATCATCCTCTCCAACAATGAATGATGCAGCGTCAGCATCATCATCGTCATCATCGTCGAGGTTTCGTCTGGAGAATGGAGTTGACACAAGATTCTGTAATGAAGCTAATTGGGTACTAGAAACGCCGGTACGTTTGATAGGGGAAGTAGTTGTGTCAAATGATCCTCTCGAGGAGGCATTTGCTGATGATTGATGCTCAGAAAGTAATTTCTCCAAGGCATTTTGCCATTTTTTGAGTTGCTCTTCATTACGGCATTTTAGCGAGAAAGATTCCATTTCAGTATCACCACGCCAGAATACTTTAATTAACCACACTAAAAAATAGAGATCAAGAAACATTAAACATTAAATATGTAGAAGGAATCAAAAAGGTAATACATTCAAAATTGTGCTTACATCCAGGGTGACTGTGGTTAACAACAGCCGTAATATTGTGTATAAAAATCCTCCCTTTGAGTTGAAGGCTTGCTCTTTTTTGTCTCCGATTATTTTTGATTATATTGTTTTTTGGGTTTTGCTTAGAAGTATCTTTGCAACAAAGAAGAATCCTTTCGAAAAGATACACATGGTATTCACGTTCTGAATCATCTTTTTGCATTATAAACACATCTTCAAGTAATAGAGATCCAAAAGAGGAAATATTGTGACCCTTCCAATCTTCAACTCGGCGTTCAAGATCTTTTACTACCGCTTCATTCTCCTGTTTCCGCCGAGTCTCATTCACTCGGTCGGTTACTCGTTTGATCGCCTTGAGTCCTTGTTCAATTTCATCATAATAAGGATTTTCATTTTTATCAGTGTATTTTAATAATTCCTGTGTAAATTAAAAACGTTAAATTTAACGTTAAATCCTTAAATATTAAATATAAATTAAGATCAGCATACCTGTAATAACAAAGGATATTTGCAAATACGTTGAATAGGTTTGATTAATAAGGATGGAAGTTCGTAAGTCGGTTCTACCACATCTTTTAATTGCTATGTATTGAATAAATTTAAAAAAAATATTAATAATCTTAAAAAATCAAGATTATTTATATATATATTTTCCATTCATACCATAAGATTCTGACGTTCTTGAATGACCAACTCTGATGCAGATTGATAATTTGCACAGAATGGCTGGTATACTTCGAAATTCTCTTCCTATGTGACCATAAAATTATGAGAAAAGGGTAAAAAAAATATTAAAACACCTATTTTAAAAGAAATACTAACCATAGATAAAAACAAGTAGCCGAATCTTTGTTCTGACGGTGGATAACTAGCATTAGTTTCCACGCCAATAAGAAAACGACGTTGAAAATCTACTAATTGATTCAGATTTGCAAAAAGATGATGGATTGTATCTGCGTTAACAATCTCTTGATTCTGCAGTTTTCTTGCATAATCCTACGTAATATAAATATAATTAAGTATATAAAAAATTATATCGTTTTATATATAATACGATAGTACCTGTAACGCTTCCATATCTTGTACATATTTCCTTTCTGTTTCCAGTAATTCATGAACAACTCGTGCACGATTATCTTTTGGTGCCATAGGATCAGAACTTCGTAAAAGTTGTCGTCTGGATAAATTCAAGAGACCCTTTTCTTCAATTTTGTCAGTTACGCTTTTGACCGTATTAATTACCTTATTTTTTAGGTTATAAATAAAAGTTATGGTCAACCATTCAATTCTCTTTAATAATTTCTTCCCGTAATTTTGTATTCATACAATTATTCTCATTTTATGTATTGATCAATCCTCAGCTAATTTCAAACCCACCCACCCACCCATCCAAAAAAGATAAAAAAATTTACTTTGACAAAATCATTGGTATCATCTTTGTATAATGAAGAAATTCCAAACATTGATTCCTCTTTGAGTTTGAGTTCTGCTTTACAAGCGACTAGAAAATGGTATACACTTTTTTGATTCGTTTTTGCATGAGAGCTACTGGGTTTAGTCGTCAAGCTTGGTGGTTGAGTAAACTCAGCCGCTATTGACATCGCCGGTTGCATGGCATTAAATAAAGCACACAATGGATATCCTAAACGAAATGTTTGCCATAATAGTGTAACAGGGTCGCTTTGAATAAGTCCATTTGGCGTTTCAGTAGTTGGTGTTCCAATTCCAGTACTGTTATTATTAATGTTATTATTCTGTATGTTGCTTTGTGCCTGCTCCAGATATTCTTCAAAGCCATCTACACAATATAGTCGTTCCAACAGTTCTAAACATAACTGATATAGTGATTGTGACGCTTGGGCAGGTCTATTTAACGTATTAGCGCCCGTTGGAGTTGGCGTTTCATTCGTAATGGTGAGCGTGCCAACGTTTGGAAGCTGATTTAAACTGGGAGAACGTTTGATTGCTCCCCTGTTCATATTTAAAATAACTACCGCTTTTTTTCCAAAGTTGAGTGTATGTAACTACGCAACTTTGGAGCTGGAGAGTGGATTAAATGTTGGTAAACTTCTTAAGAAAAAATTCGACCGATGAATAGCTAAACTAAAGCTTTTCAGTCTGTTTTGAAAGAAAGATTAGTCGTTTTGTGGTAGCACGCGATTTATTACAAACTTTGTGGATTTTCTTCTTTCTTTTGATGTTCTTTAAGCCGTTAACCTTTTAATTTAATTTAAGGTGGATGGTGAATTTGAGATGAAGGCAACAGTTGGCGGGTAGAAGACGTCTCGCCAGCGAGCGGTTTAATGATTTTCGAGATAAAAGGTTAGGGGAAGTGAAAAATAGTCTAGTGGCGTAAATATTCTTTAATGAATTATATATTGATTTTGGAAAATGGGTGCTGTGTAATACGACCCCGTCACACTACTTCATATTACGATTTTTTCTAAAATTATAAATGATAATTAATAATATCCCATTTGGATCTTTACAATGTTTCTCTCATGTGATATTTCCGTATGCATATTTAATGATATTCTCAGAGCAATAAATAATTACATGAAAAGCCTGACCTTGAATATATGATTATTGCATTATCTTATTATAATACAGAAAAGTGTGATTTAAAATTCTTTATATTCATTGGAAAGTAGTCTTTTGTAATAAATGAGGATATTTGATCCCAATGGCATTTACAATCTCTTCTACATGATGACAAACGTTCTGTATTGCTGAATCCCATTTAGCTCCCAGCACCCCCGTGGGTACATCTTCATTACCTTCACCCGCCGTATTGGCTGTCTCGAAAAATATCAAACGTTCAATTTGATCGATGGTACCTTGCATTCGACCTTGCTCAATCATAGAACTAGCTATTTGCTCGGCTTGATCGGGCGAGATTGAAAGCAACGTGCCAAGTTCTTCAAATGTGATATTATTATAGAGACGTGAAGCGGACAGTAAGTTATGTTCAATCACTGCGCGATCAAGCACAGTTGTCCCGTCGGCAAGAATAGCACGTTGATGCTCTTTAAGAGTTTCGGCAAAATCTTTTACTTCCGACGGACGAAGTACACGATCCAAGTACATTTTCTCCAAGATTGAGAAATGCGGAAGGCGTTGTACACGTTCGTCTTTATATAGTGTAGCAAGCATTCGTGAACGTTGAGGACCCGCTCCGGCTAATACGGCACATGTAATGGCTGCATTTCTATTTGAAATGTATAATTTGAATTTTATAATTTATAAATCCGAAACATGAGATAATAAAAGCTAGACTTACAAAGCAAGTGTCCTCTCTTCTGGAGCTAATTCCGTCACATAACTTAACTCATGATATTTTGAGCTTGCTTCTAGAAACCGTCGTTTGAAATCGAAAATCTTTGCCTGAGAGAGCTTAAAAGTTAAATTAATCTCTTGATCTTTACAGCCTGGGATTAATAAGGACGCACGACTTAAATAGGTCTCCGCTGAAACAGCTTCATCTTCCTCCAGTAAAAGACGGACAATTTTGATATAAATTGAAAGCTTATATTCATCGGGAATAGTACTGTGAATTATAATTTAATAATCATTAGGATGATCAAATAATAGATAATTTAATGAATTAAGAAAAGGCTCCCTGACTTCCGTTCCAACATACCGATGACCAGAATCTAATGGGATTCCTTGAAGTACTCGTGCTGCCTCTATAAAATCTTCTTCAATTTCATAAATTTCAGCTAATTTTTCACGGATAGTTGAAATCTTTTAAGAGAGATATCTTAAGATTAGACAGGCCAATAAAAATTTACATAAAATCAATAATACAATAACACTAAATCATGCAATAAACTTCCAAACTAGAGAAGCAAACACACCTGTTCCTCAAAACTAACAACACGAGGTTGAATTTTCGATAAGGAAAAGTGCAATACGCGTTTTTTTACTTCATTATTTCCAATTTTTCCGACACCTTGCACAAAGTCAGTCAGCACCTGACGCGAAATTACCAAGCCGACTTGTTCTTGGACTATGTAGTCTACAAAAGTTTCCAAATTTGTGGCAAGAATAGTATTCTTCGTGATATCCTCAGTATTTGGTGTTTCTGAACCGGCAAGTATTGTGTCTAGTAATGCCCTGTATTCAATAGTTTTATCTTTTTGTGAGGCAATGGAACCGATTGCAGTAAGGCGTTGAGAAACGTCTGAAGACATGATAAAAATGCAAAAGAGCTGTTTGATTTTTCAAAGTTTTAATAATTTATTTTCACGTGATTGCATTTTTAAATTCCACTGCGCGAAATTTAAATGAGATTTGTAAGCGTAACTTCGTCTTTCGAAATAATATTACCATGTCTGGTTCTTCTTTTTGTCATGAAAAAGAAGGCTGGGTTAGTTTTTCCTCAATCTCTCATATTTATAAAGGGTTTTATAGTCTTTTTTCAAAATGTAGGACACATTAACTTACTGTAGTAATTTCTTTGACATGTGATGGAATTCTTGTAGGGTCCTGCGAGCTCCACACGCATACTTGACTTGACGCTTTGTTTTGAGGAAGGGTACATTATTTATGAATTTTCTAGATATTTATTTAAGCAAACATAAAAATTTACTTTAATCAAACTATTTTTTATTTTTACTGTAATAATCGGAATAATGAGGAAATATTTGTTAATAAATCAATTATTTTCATTAATATTTATTTTAATTATCTTAAGGGGAATTATTACACCAATTAATTGTCTCCTTTTCCTTTTTGGTGTTTATGATCTTTACCGTTTATCCAAAAAGCGGCCTGTGATTCCGACTGATGGATTATGGAAGTGGCATTTTATTACAATTTCGGTATTTATTCAAATTATATATTAGTAATTCCCCAAGAATTAATAATGATTGAAAAAAATCTATAATTAAATAATCGTTGCTTGATAGATCACACTTTTCTTACTGTTGGTTAGCAGTTCGTCGATTGCTTTATTTACCATTTTAAAGCTAGATGCACAACTATTAGATATTCAAGTAATTTCTGCAGCTGTTAATGTGCTTGCAGCGGTGAGATTAATCTCTTTTGAATGTTTTCGCTCATTATCGAATTATCTTTCTTAAAAGACTATATAAGTGAAATATTTTTCTTTTCTAGATATTAACATCGATAATTGAATACCAAAATTATACGCGTAATCGAATTCCTTCAACAGTCTTATTGTTGTACTGGTTATTTTATACGATAGCGAACTTTATAAGATTACGAACATGGTATTATATGGATTATCGATCTACCCATCTCGGTCTGTTCGTTTCTTTGACTTCATCGATTTTTTTGATGGTGATTCTCTTTGTATTGGAACTTTTGCCAAAGCCTAAAAGTGAATATGAACACTTGGGCGAAGAAGAATCTGTAAGTGGAAATTACAAATCAAAAAAATTACTAATAGTACTAATAGCAATTTTGTATATACAATATAGGAAAAAGCTTGCCCTGAAGAGACGGCAAATATTTTTTCTCGACTCACTTTTTATTGGATGACTCAGTTAATGAAACTGGGCTACTCTAAATATTTAACTTTCGAAGATTTGTGGGATCTAAAAAAGGAAGATCAGTCTACAGTATTATCAAGGAAATTTGAAATAGCCTGGAAAAAGGAATTAACAAAGAAAAATCCTTCATTGCTTTGGGCTTGTGTTACGACTTTTGGTGGTCCATTTTTTTTCGCTGCATTATTTAAGGCATCTCAGGATATATTGGGTTTTATTCAACCATTACTCTTGAGTCAATTGATGGAATTTGTCAGCAGTTATGGAACTAAAACAGAAAAACCTCATGCATATAAGGGTATTCTCATCGCTTGTTTGATGTTTTTCACTGCTGTTTTCCAGACGATCCTATTACATCAATATTTTCAACTATGTATTGTTACTGGAATGCGGCTTCGCGCTGGACTGGTAACAGCCATCTATCAGAAAGCACTTCGTCTCTCAAACGCAGCTCGACAAAAATCCACTGTCGGCGAAATTGTAAATCATATGAGTGTGGATGCTCAGAAATTCATGGATTTGTGCACATATTTTCATATAATTTGGTCTGGGCCGCTTCAAATTTGTCTTGCCCTTATTTTCTTGTATAAAACTATGGGGGTCAGCATTTTTGCCGGTGTGGCTGCAATGATTTTGACGATACCTGCGAATGGCTTCCTCGCGAAAAGAATGCGAAGTCTGCAAAAGAAACAGATGGGAAATAAAGATCAGAGAATCAAATTGATGAATGAGGTTTTGAATGGTATTAAAGTAATTAAATTATATGCTTGGGAAGGAGCTTTCTTGAAAAAGGTAAATTAATTTCGTGTAATAAATAATAAAGATTATCAAATTTATTTATTGATCAATTTTTACATTAGATTGCTCATATCCGAGATAATCTTGAACTTGATACATTGAAAAAAATAGCTTACCTCGCCTCAATTCAAAATTTTACTTGGGCTTGTACAGTAAGAGAATATCTTTGATAATCGTTTCTATTTGTTTCATGTAATAACTCTATTAATTATTCTATATAATTTAGCCTTTTCTTGTTTCGTTTGCCACTTTCTCGATTTTCGTTTTAATTTCTGACGAGCCATTGACTAGTGGAAGAGTGTTTGTAGCGTTATCACTCTTCAATTTACTTCAATTTCCCCTCTCAGTATTCCCTAGTGTCATCACTTCAACCATCGAAGCATCTGTTGCTTTGAACAGAATGGAAAATTATTTACTTGCCGAAGAAATAGATCAAAATGCAGTTATACATGAAGATTATCATACGTTAGAAAATCTTAGAACTGAAAATGGTGATATAGAGCTTGTATCTATAAAAAATGGAACATTCCGCTGGTCAAGAAATTCTCCGGAGCCGATTTTAAATGATATTAATCTCAGCGTTTCCAAGGGCAAATTGGTTGCGATAGTTGGCAGAGTTGGTATGTACTTTTTTGTTAGATTTTTTTAAAAAAACTGAATTAGTAATCATTGTAAGAATAATTAATAGGTGCTGGAAAATCATCTTTACTTTCTGCTATTCTCGGAGAGATGGAGAAAACTAGTGGCGAAGTCATTGTTAGGGGTACTATAGCTTATGTTGCTCAGTCAGGTAATCCATTTGTTGTTGAAATCGATTTTCATAATTAAATTTATGTCATCACGTCTAATAATTTAAATAAATTTAGCTTGGATAATGAATGCTAGTCTTCGAGATAATATTACTTTTGGATATCAATTTGAACAAGAATTTTATGATAGTAAGCCATTAGAGTGACATTTTTATTCCTTTCCATTCTATCATTGTTCTTACATCTTAAATTACTTCACTTTAACAGATATACTTGAGGCATGTGCCCTTAAGCCTGATATTGAAATGCTTCCAGGAGGAGATTTAACAGAAATCGGTGAACGAGGAATTAACTTGTCAGGAGGACAAAAGGCCAGAATTGGATTAGCTAGAGCAGCGTATTGTCGTGCTGATATATATTTATTCGGTAAAAACCCAGCAAATTCGACATTAATAGAAAGGTTTTGTTTATTATTTGGATAGTTTCTTAAATTGTTTTTTAATTTCATATAGATGATCCATTGTCAGCGGTAGATGCTCGTGTTGGTAAGATAGCTATTAAAACATAATATAGAATAATCATTTCATATACTCAAATCTTGGTAATTTAGGTAAACATATCTTTGATCAAGTTATTGGGCCTAGTGGTATACTTCGTAGCAAGGCTCGTATATTTGTTACCCATGGCATACACAATCTTTCTCGCGCGAATTCAATTGTCATGCTACGAGATGGAGCAGTAATTGAACAAGGGGATTTCGAATCTCTAATGAAAAAGAAAAATGAACTATTCAATCTAATTAGCGAATTTGGTCAGCAAGATCAGTCTGATCAATCAGACGAGACATCTTCAATAAAAAGTCAAACTCTAGTTGAAGCATATGAAATTGATGGCGCTGATGGGGATCCAAAATATGAAGAGACTACGCGTCCTCCTCGAGAAAGACGATTTAGTGTTGTCACTCTAAATCGACCGGTCATGGCAGATGTCAAATCTAGAAAACTTGGAGTTGAACTTGGTAAAGAATCTTTGATTGTGCGAGAAGAATCGGCTACAGGCAGTGTACCATGGTCTGTATATAAAGCCTACATAAAATCTTCGTCAACTGTCGCTGTTATAGTATTCTTACTCTTGATGATCGGTTCACAAGGAGTTCAAGTTTGTAAGCGTAAATTAATTAGATGTGGCAGAAATTTATATTAACATGAGTTCATTCTAATAATGAATGAATGTGGTTTGCATTCTAGCTTCAAACTATTTTCTTAAGTACTGGAGTTCCGAAAACGAAAAAAAGGGAGAAAATGAGAATATTTTACTTTATCTCGGAATTTATGGTTTGATTGGGGTAATTTATTCTCTTATGACGATTTTTCAAACTATTGTATTATGGGTATTTTGTGCTATTCGGTGAGTACTTTTAAAGATGTGAAAATTTCCCAATGTCAAAGAATTTTTCTATCAAATTAATATTTGGCGTGTAAAATAGATCCGCACGAAGATTGCACAAAGAGATGTTATCTGGTGTAGTGAGGTGAATTTTATTAACATTACTTTTCGTATTAATTTTATTTCACTATTTTAACTTTACTTATTTCATTGTTTTTTTTCTTTTGCCAAGATCGCCAATGTCATTCTTCGTAAGCACAAAATATGTTAACCGTCAAATTATTCCACTGTTTATTTAATTCTAATCTTTTATTTTATCTTGTTATATATATGCTATAGGACACGACTCCGTTAGGTCGTATTTTGAATCGATTTAGCAAGGATCAATATACTATCGATGAAGTTCTTCCTCGTACATTTTCTGGTTATTTTAGAACCTTTTTTATGGTTCTTGCAACAATTTCCGTTATTAGTTTCTCGACTCCATCTTTTATTCTTTTTATTGTGCCAATGCGTACGTATTTAAAATAACTTTTTATTTTACAAAATGTATCAAATAGATTAATATGATCTCTTATCCAATTATTACTAGTCTTTATCTATCACTATATACAAAGGTATTACCTCGCTACTTCACGGGAATTAAAACGCTTAGATTCTGTTACCCGATCTCCAATTTATGCCCATTTCCAAGAGACACTTGGAGGTGTTACGACTATTAGGGCCTATCAACAACAAGATCGATTCATTGAGGAAAATGAATATCGGTTAGACGAAAATCAAAAAGCTTATTTTCCATCTTTCTCTTGTAACAGATGGTTGGCAGTGCGATTGGAGTTTTTAGGTTCTTTTATTTATTCAAACTATTATCGCTTTAGTAGTCAATCGTATATAGTTGAAAGAATATTTTCTTCTATCTTTGGTCTAACTTTACTTTTTATCTCATAATAGGATCTCTTATCATTTTTGGAGCTTCTCTCCTTTCTGTGATAACTTTAATCACAACGGGAAATATTGATGCAGGTCTTGTTGGATTGTCTGTTTCATATGCTTTAATCGTAACCCAGGCTTTGAATTGGGCTGTAAGGCAATTTTGCGAAATTGAGGTACATATTTTAATAAAAATGTTAATAGAATATTAGAGATTATTGATTGTAATTAATTTAATGTTTATTGATTTGGTAGACAAATATTGTTTCAGTAGAACGAGTAAAAGAGGTGAGAGGATTCATGAATAATTTCTTGGTTAGTTTGTTCCGTTCTCATATTCAATATGTCTCATTCCATAATAAAAGTATATTGACCTTCCGAGCGAAGCACCCGAAATTATTGCTGATAATCGACCTCCACCTGCTTGGCCACAGCAAGGATTAATTGAATATAAAGATTATGCTACACGTTACCGTCCTGGTCTTGAATTGATCTTAAAGGTAATTTTTATTGACTCCTTTAGAATCATTCTTTCAATTTGAGACACTGACGCACCAAATTAAATCTGCTATTTAGGGTGTGTCTTTTACCGTTATGCCAAAAGAAAAAATTGGCATTGTTGGGAGAACGGGTGCTGGAAAATCAAGTCTTACCCTCAGTTTATTCAGACTAATTGAAGCTACTGATGGTTGCATTTATGTGGTAAGCAATTTATTATGGCTGATACTAAACAAAGCTTTGTTTGATCTATAATCAGCCTTCTAAATATGATAACCTTCTCTTATCAGGATGATATAGATATTACAAAGATAGGATTATATGACCTACGTTCACGACTAACAATCATTCCTCAAGATCCAATTCTTTTTGAAGGTGAATTGAAATTCGCTTATCAAATAACTCTCAAATTACAAATAGAAAATTAATCTTTATATTTTATTAAGGCACTGTTGCTTTCAATCTCGATCCTTTTGGCACTCATGATGATGTGGAAATATGGCAAGTTCTTCAAAGTGCTCATCTTAAAGAACATATCGCAAAATTAGACGGCAAGCTTCAAGCTAAAGTGCTTGAAGGCGGAGATAACTTTAGCCAAGGACAGAGACAATTATTATGTTTGGCTAGAGCGCTTTTACGGTTTGTTGCTATTTTTAAATATGTAATAGTTATTTAAAATGTTATTTACCTTCTATTTTTTATAAATAGACGATCACCTGTTATTGTCTTGGATGAAGGTTTGTAATTTCCTAACCTATATTATGAAGTTGATTATTACCATAATGTTTCTAATAAATTTTTTAATAATATATAAACAGCTACTGCTAGTGTAGATGTTGAAACAGATTCTCATATACAAGGTACATACATTATATATCAAGGAGACAAATCATCATTATTGACATTGAATTTCAATCTAATGATTTTTACCTCAACATAGAAACTATTCGAACTGAATTCAGCTGGGCAACATTGTTGTGTATCGCACATCGATTACGAACAATTATCGATTACGATAGGGTCAGTTAGTTTTTTGCTGCTGTAATTCTTGCAAGACATCTGTTACTATTCTAAATCGGAATTTTTATACAATTTGAAAATTTAGGTTCTTGTACTCGAACAAGGCAAGGTTGCAGAATTTGACACACCATACAAACTTTTACAAAATCCCGATAGTTTATTCCGAAAATTATGTGAAGAAAGTAACGAATACGAATTTCTTATGGAAAGTGCCACGAAAAAACATAATATTTAAAAAAAGTTTAGACATTTCTTCTCTTTCCTTTTCCCAAAAAGATACACATAAAATCGAGAATTAGAGGAATTCTTAATTGTTTTTATAATAAAGCTTTTGTAAATTATTGTATTCTTTTTTGTCCAGCTTTCTTTATTTTTTTTATTGAAGCATTGAGAATGATGATGCGCTTGCGAGCGTCAGTCATTTACAATTATTATAGTCTCGAACTTAAGTCAGAGATTTTTTATTGTTTCCAATTCAAAGAATAGAATTATGATGTCCTCTATTATGAGGATGTGCATTTTACGTCGCCAAAATTAAGCATAGTATTTCTAATTAGGAATTTTTCTCGAACGGATATATTAAAAAATAGAAAAAAAACAATAATCACATTTCAAATCAATAAAAAGGATCAAACCGATTGTCCCTTATTTTTGCCGTTCATCAGACTCGCTGTCGAAAATTCAGCAATGATAAGCGAAAATAAAAAAAATCATAAAGGTCAATAAATTAAAGAGACAAATCAATTAGAGTTAATGACTACTTTACGTCCAAATTTACCGGAAGAGGAGCCAATATTGGAAATTGCCATATCCTTATCTTGTCTTAAAACAATGGCTCTCAAAAAGATTAGACAAGATTCTGATCTTGCCGTGTGCAACGGATAATTCTTGGATCCAGCCGCGGCAGCAGTAGCAATCGTTGTAATGCCAGAATTAGATGTGGTAGTGATATTCAGAGAGGATGCCGGAGAGACGGAATTGGAAGACGGAGAAGAGGATGTGGAAATTGCGAGCGCGTCTTTGTTAACAGGGAGATTATGGTTACCTGGGGCAAGCGGGCAACATGGATGATGCTTATGTCCATCTATGCCGATAACTGGACCAATAGAATTATTACCTCCATTTCGTCCATTCACAGTTCCAAGGTCCTTAGATTTTTTTTTCACTTTTCCATTAGATTTCCTTCCAGTCGCAAGTTCTTTCTCTCTCTCTCGCTCCTTTTCTTTCTCTAATTCGGCAGCAGCTAACAACATTTTGTGGTGATGATGTTTTTCAAGCCATTCACGCTCTTTTTCTTCTCTCTCTTTCTCCTTCTGTCTCACTACATCAATTAATTCTTTTAGATTTTCATGCTGAACTAAATTGGTCGCTTTCTTTATCCTCTCTAATACTTCCATGTAATCTGCCTGGGCCATGGATCTCGCTGGAAGGAAAACTGGATATCCTTCAATACATTCATGTAACTCAGAGATCCGAGCATGCCATAAAGCAGCGGTATGAATGTCCCCAAGTAAGATGTAATTTAATGCGATTGCATACCATGCCTCGATAAGTAGAGGATGATATGTGGCATAAGAATGTGGTGGCTGAAATCCATGAAAATGATGGTAATGATGGTTATGATGATGGTTATGATGATGCTGATGGTGATTATGATAATCGTGACCACGATGACTATCTTTCACCTCCAAGCCACCATTGACCGCGGAAGAACCGTTTTCATTTTTGGTACTAGGATCAATTAATTGTGAGCCATTCACTCCATTATCATTTTCATTCGTGGTGTGTGTACTAAAATGGATTCCTCGATTAGGAGAGGAATCACGAGATATGGTAGGACTACTAGCCTTTGACGATGATGTCTCATCATTAGTTACCGTGAATGGCGGTAATGAACTTGGGTAAAATGATAGAAAATGATTATAATCCCGAATAGAACGTCTTGCCATAGTCTGCATTTGAGGCATTATCGGCAGAAGTTCTTGCCGGTACTGTTCAATTTTTGGTATTTGTGTTTGAATCGAAGCCCCATCTTTTTTCCCGTTATATATTCCTTTTCCATCAGCATCTTTTCGCTCAGCACCGTCAACTTTTTGGATAGCCTTGTCTACCATACTGATTGCGTATTGAAGATAACAGGCTGCTCGCAGAAAATACAATTGGCTCTCCGTGCCTGTACACTCATCCGAATCCTTGCCATGATGATGATGCAATGGGCTTGTTATTTTCTTACCCATAAGGACGCTATTCACCCGTTTTTTGTGCTTAATATGTGCAAGCGCTGTTTTGAAATCCCGAAGTGCACCAGCGAATTCCTCTTTAAAGCATTTGACAACACCACGTGTGCGATAATATTCTGGCGTATTCGGAGACGCCGCAATAATCTGATCTAATACTTCAGTGGATGTAGATTGCGACAGCATTCTACTTGTAATATGTAAGGGACAAATTTGGGCAGAGTATTAGGTTGGATCCAAAGGCTAGAAATTTTATTTTTATTCGAAATTCTGACTCTTTCGCGGATTCCTATCTTTTATAAGCGAAATGCATTTTGCATAAAACGAACTTGGTCAAGTGATAATGGACATAGTAAATTCTATTTACCTCGACGGGATTTTTTCGTGAAAAAAATTTACATAGAGAGCCTCCAAATTCGTCGAGTTCTTCTTTAATACTCTACTGGCCACTTCATCAATAGCACTCGCCGATTGCATAGTCACGACTGCAGTAGCTATTTCGTCTATTCGATATGCGAGCGCCAACTTATTTACAGCGAGTTCACGCATTCTATGCTGCCGCGTATGAGACATTGTGTTTCTCATACTTCCACCAGAAGTTGAAATTCCTGAAGCAGCACGCACAGACAAATCAGCAGCTTCGTCAACCAGACGACGAATTGATATCAAGTTTCCGAAAATAATAGGATCGATGGGAGGCGGTGGTGTAGCAACGTTATCGGTGTTAATGACATATAGCGAATCAAGCAACTCGAGGGGAAGCTGAAGCCAAGGACCATGATACGAAGAAATGTATTTCCAGTGTTTATTCCGCGAAATGGAAAGGGAGCTCTGACCGGTGAAGCTAGACGGTTGGAGAGCAGACGCTGGTGTTGCCGATATTTGCTGAGTGTTCTGCTGTTGTTGCACTACTGAAGTGCCAACGGAGTTCCTGACTGATTTTTTTTCAGTCTCTTTTTTAGCCGCCATGATGTTAGCCTGAGAAATGGTGGTTGCAGAACTGGTTGCGTGAACCATTTATTTTTTTACCTTTTGCCAAAAAGAAAAAGGGTTGAGACGTAAATTTTCTCGACTGCTATTATAATAATGGGCTTATATATTTAACATAAAAGCGAGAGACCGTATTACTTTGCTCGGTCAATCAAATCTTTACAGCTGCCTTCGAGAAAAGATATTTTATTTGACCTCGTGGGTTTTTTTTTAGACAATACAATAAATAAAGTAGGACATCAAAATTTATGATTTTTTTGTTTGTTTTTCCATCGACGTTACCCTAACAAACAAAACACCACGTGATAATGTGATTTTTTGGGATGGAAATAAAATCACCTAATTTGATATTCAATGCCACGCGAAAATGCAGTATGATATGATTAGATACTTTATATAGTTAATCAGATTTATTACATTGTCTAACTTTCTGTTATATCTATACTACATTCTTGACTATTGAGAGATTTTTAGCATAAATATATAAAATATCGAGTACTCATACAAGGAAATATTAATCTTCTTCCATACGATCTCCACCCTGTTCTTCAGTTGTGTCTTGGTTATTAGAATTATTTTGTTGCCTATTCGCTTGATCTTGAATAGCCCTGAGGAACGCTTCAACTCCTAGACAAATAATCAAAAATAACGCAATATAAATATAGGAATATTTTACCATAAAAAAATATTGAATCAAAATTGGCGATTATTTTCTCGAAAAATTACCAACACCAGTCGATGCATCTAAACCCAACGATGTTAGCAACGGCCCCAGTTGACCTGATTGTAAAGCAACACTTAAGGTTTGTAATGCCTGTAATCGAGAAAAGTTTAGCAATCACATTTACCATAAAATTAATTTTATTTTTATATCAATAGTATAATGATATCATCATACCTGTGTAAATTGAGGGCTTTGTATAACCTCTTGAAGTTCTTCAGGAGTTCTTTCTAGATTCTGTGGAATATGAGGAAATAATGCTAATGTGATAAAGCATGTAACGTTTACTTTAATATCTATTTCAATTTTTCATATACGGCATGTATAAATAAATATTTATTTCACCTACCCGAAGCAATATCAGGATTACTCAATAGGGGACTAATTGCAGAAGGCGTGAGCACATCTGTCAAATTCAAATCTATAATAAAAAAACGATTCAGTTAGAGAACTGAAGAATCACAAGTGAAATAATTACGAGAAATATTTATTTACCAGGTTGACGAGTTCCCTCTATAATTGAATTTTATGACTGAATGAGAATGTGCGACTTGATTAATTAAGATGTCATACATGTTTTAAGGCGTACCTGGAACTTGTATTTTTGATAAGATATTTCTCAAGTTTCCCAATTGTTCCGGCGTTACACCTAACTGTTCGGAAGTTTGTGGTACGGCAGAGCCAGCTTCAGATGTTGGTGCAGTGGCAGACTGCGGTTCAGCTGGAGTAGTTGAAGGTATAGGAAGACCACTTTGATAAAACCCAACAGCATTGAGAAGATAATTCAATAAATATTTAATTTTAGAATTCGAATGAATAAAAAAATTAAATATCTATGTAATTATTACATACCCAAAAGCTCCATGACCTTGTAGAAATTGTAGCAGTTGTTCCTGATCCATATTATTAAATCCAGCTAGATCATCCATACTTCGAAAAGTACCTCCTAAAGTACCCGCACCACCTTGCTGTCTACTCTCTGCTAATCCGCCTTGCGGATCATTTATCAATCTATTTATTTTTGCTGCGTGCTCCTCATCTTTATCGTCTTTTGCATCTTGCATCCAGAAAAACAATTTTTGAGATGAAGATTTGAAGTTGAGTAAATATACACGTCCAGTTGTGCATTCATTCACGCGAACAAATTCGGCCTCTTCACGAAAAACAATCAAGTCCTGTACAAGCATGAAATTTTTTTTCGAATTAACTTATAAACCTACAATGGCATTGCAATACTAAAGAAAATAATTTGACACTCACATCTTCTACCGTGTTTGTCTTTCTGTCTTTCCAATAAAAATGCATTAATTGCTCTTCTCCCTAAATAATGGTCGTATATTTACTTACATTATTCATTTTCACAACGAAGATTAACTTAAATGACCATAAGAGGCAAACCTGATCCATATAGATTAAACTGTTTCATTATCAAGCCAGTTGAAATTCGAAACTAAGATTAGAAAACTATTCTTGTAAAGTTACCGAGTGATCTAATCAAGAAATTAACTTGCCCTTTTCGTTCATCTGGCTTTAACCACTTGCTATTTCCCTCTCGAATCATTTTACCGGCTTTAAATTCAACAGGGTATTTTCTTCGCGAGACAGGGGCGGGAAATAAAGAAGTAGACATTTTTGAAACGGTTTTTTTAACAAAGTTCAAGGTTTCTTAAAAAAGCAGTATGAATTTTCTCCGATAATGACAAATCAAATGACTCGATCTTCACGTGATTTGAGCTTAATTTTTATTCAAATATCGAAATCTTTTCGCGTTCATTATTAGATCAATACAACCTAAAAGAAAAAAAAATGAGTTTCTCAAGCGACTATGGCCTTTCTTCTTCCACCTCTTCCACCACCATGTATGAATGAATGAATTTATTTCTGAATTAAAAATTGTTCTTTTATGATCCATCTTATGAATGAATCTGAAAAATCGCTTTTAACAGGGAAGGTCGAAAGAAGGCTGTCATGGATCAAGTTCGAAGTGAACTTGCTTATGCGAATTTGCAAGAAATCGTTACTGTATTTGTCGCTCTATTATTTTCTCTGTTCGTTGAAGGCCTAATTTTTAAAATGTATTAATGACGTTATATTTTTCAAATAGAAAATCAATGAAAAATGTTTTGCCAAATGTATTTCAAAACCAGGTCACTCTTTAGAAAATAGTGAAAAAGTGATTTTCGTTTATTTGGTTTCTTTTGGATAAAACTTTTTTCATCACACGACTTTTTAACTAATCAATGATTTTGTATTCTGACAATACAGCAATGCGTTGCAAAATGTATGGATCGATATATGGAATCATGGAATATCGTATCACGAGCATACTTGTCACGAGTTCAGCGTGAAAGTCAGTTACAAGGGGGGAGTTTATAGTCGACGAACAATGTTATGTATTTATATACGATCCACCCGCATCCGCATCCGATCATCAGATTTGGGGTTTTTTTGTTTAGAATATCACTATAAAATAATGAACGCATAAATATGTTTTCTAATACATAATTATAACGATAATTATAATTTAATTTTTGACGCGACATTCAATGGTGACGTAATTCGCATTACATTATAAAGGTCTGAAAATCATCGTAGTTGATTGACAACTTTACAAATGTCTTCCTCGCCTACAGATTCTACTCAAATTAGAGCTTACCTTGATAAAAAGCTGCAGAACAGAAAAACAGCAACATGGCTTTGGTCTTCTGCAATAGAAAAACTAAAACAAAATAGACCAGCCTCAAATGAGCCTTATGAAAAATTCGTTACCTTCTGGAAGACTGTATTAACTGAAACAACTGAACAAGGCTTGTTAGGTCCCGACGTGTTATGCTTTGAATTCAACGAGAAAATAAACAAAAAGTTTAATTATGACCTTGATAATAATGGAATATTAAGTCCACCCGTAATGACGGCACTTAATTTGGTCATAGTATGTGCTCCAAAAATCCTCGTCTTGCGTTTCTTCACAATGATTAACCTAATCTTCGTAAAAATTGGTTTTAATTGAACTAGCAAGAACTTTGTGAGAGAAATGAACTAATACGCTTCGATGAATTTAAAGCTTTGTATACGCAATCCTGGGCTAATTGGATTTTTTCAAGTATAATTCTTGGTTCAGTTTGGTGGAGTTATGAACGCGTCGTTACAGGAGTAAAAGGTGAACCTAATCCTGGGAAATACGTTGTAATGTCGATTCTTGCGGAAGCTGCCGAACGTGTCTCTAAGCATCACGCTAAAATTGCTATCCATGGTATTACCGATAATTTATACACCCTGTCTTCGTTCAAAGAACAATATGGTGAAGCAGCGATGCCTGGTGTAAAGCTTTCAGATACAGATTGGGATATTTTATTAACTTACTTGGAATATGACCGACATATATTGATAGCCAGGGCCTGGGATAAAGAGGGTTTAGGACATAAAAATGAAGTGGTAAATTTTTTTATCGTACTCTACTTGATGATCATTTGCAAGCTAATAAAAGTTTTTCATTAGGCAATTAAATTTCGCGCAATCGATGATTTGACGCGTAACAAGCTGGAAATAAACACTAGCTTAGAGCATGGCATTTTAAATATAAAAGCAACTTCGGAAGCACTTCATAAACAAATTGAAAATTTGGAAAATCAAGTTAAAGTGTAAGTGAGATTATGTACATACACGCACATATATATATATATATATATACACGAAAAGCTAACACTTCAGATACAACTAATTAACTGATCGGTTCTTCCATTATTCTTAGGCTTGGAGGAAGAATAAATAATTACCTTAGACGTCAGCAAAGAATATCTGCCAAATTAGCATTAAAGCAAAAGAAAGAAATCGAAAAGATACTTGATAAGAGGATCGATTCACTACATACACTTGAGACTATTCTTATGAAAATGCAAGAATCGGTAACACAGCGAGAAGTAAGCAAAAATATTATTCATTATGAAATCAAGCTGGTGTCAATTCAATAATTATTAATTTTTATTATTGCATAGATAGTGGAAGCATTTGATGTAGGGGCGACTACACTTCAAAATGTACTAAGTGGATCGGGTGTAACCTTTGATTCCGTGCAAGACACAATGGACAAACTTGAAGACGTGTTAATGGCACAAAATGAAATTGATGAGGCATTGACTACTGCGAACGAGACCATCTTAACTTCAACTACTGAAGAAGACGAGGAATTGGAGAGAGAACTGGCAAAGTGGCAAAAGTCGGAGAACATCAAGGAAATCCCAAAAGCACAAAAAGAATCGAAAGATGCAGAAATTTTGGTATTAGAACAAAAGTTTTCACAATTGAGCACGCTTCCTACTCCTCCAAAAAATATTCCCACCAATATTGAGGAAACTCCGACCATAACTAAGGAAATAATTAAAGAAAATGACCGAAATAAAGAGAAAGATCAACAAGAGCCAGATGACAAAGACGTTTTGTTTTTGCCCGCCTATTGAGGATTTGTGTGTGATGATGATCATGTCCCTCCCATCTCTGAATCCTCTTCAATTCCTCGAATATACAAGACATTATTGCACCTAAGGTTATTTGTTAGATTTGAGTTATTATTTATTTTAGAAGAATAGATAAATAAGAATCATTTATCTTAACTTGATCATCAAATCACCTAATTAATACTTCACCAAGTGCACCCGTTGATTGTCCATCAACGTATTCTTCAGTATTGGCTAGCTATTAATGGAAAACATTCGCTTTTAAAAAATAAATATCTATTACTTAAACCACACGCAGTCTATTAACAGAACAGGCAAAAAAAACCTGCAAGTTCATATAAGAGTCTACAGAGACCAAGTAACCCTTATACTCCATTCCCCATTTTAGACGCACTATTACCGGTTTTCCAGTTAATTCTTGTAGGAAAGGTTTTGGATTTACTGGTTGAAACTAGACAAATGCTTTTCGGTTAACTACATAATAATTATACAAAAATCATTTAAAGTAAATAAAAAAGAATTTACCGTCATTATTAAATTTAGGTTTCGAATGTTTGTTTTTGTTTTATACACTTTTTGCCTATAAGAAAAATTGATGTATTATGATTGGGTAATTGCTTGATCTGATCTCATGCCACGCGGAGGTATGAAAAGATCCAAATGAATATTGATAATACGAGATCTTTTCGTTTTGAAGATGAAGATGAAGCAAAAACAGTGATCATTAAAGAAGTAGATACATTGTATCTGTGTTTAAAATTTTTCATCATTACAATGTTTCAATTTTTGTCTAGTTTAGATATTAGATCCATCTTATGGATGCTATTTGTGGCCATCATCATCAGCGCTTGCGGAGTACATTTGGAGGGAAAAAGATTTATTTCGAGATAAAACAATCCTGGAAGTAAGTCAACTTTTTACTATACATTCAGTAATAATATACTTGATTCAATCAAATCTCATTAGTTGTATTTAAAAAAAGCTTGGTGCAGGAACATCATTGCCTGGTTTTCTTTGTGCCCTACTCTCTCCAAATAATCATGTAATATTAACCGATCGATCAGATGTGCCGCAAATTCTTGAAAATATAAAACGAGCTGCAGAACTTAATGGAATTGAAGCAGCATACGAGAATAATAATGATGATGATATTGAGAAACGGGTATGGATCCGTGGGTTGAAATGGGGAGAATTTGATGAAAGGGGATTATTTCGTTTGTTAGATGATGTTGAGAAATTGGGAAGACATGTGGATTGGATATTGGGCAGTGACACTTTTTATGATCCGAAAGGTAAGATCAAAATTTTCTTAGAGAAAATAATAAGTATCCATTTCTTGATTGTTTTTACTTTTTTTTAGATTTTGAAGATTTGATAAGCACCGTCGCATATATATTGACATACCATGCACCGCCTCATACAAAATTTATAACTTCGTATCAAGAAAGAAGGTAGCATAATAAAATTGAAAAATGTTCTTTTTTCTTTTATTAAACAAAAATAATCTAAAATTATATTTTTTTTAGTTCTAAAAGATCAATTCAATTTCTGGCTGATAAATGGAAATTATCTTTAAGCCTCATCCCGTTCGATCAGAAGGTTTATCAAGCAACCTCCAATTACCAAAGCGCTGCAATTTATTTAATTTGTATTTCTAAAAAATTATAAATATACATTATGCAAATAATAATGGCCTGTTCCAAGTATCAAATATGGAATCGGGCCAATCAATATAGGGTTTTGATTAGAGTGATGGGGGAGTGATGGGGAGTGATGGGGGATGGATTGCTTAAAAATATTCATCTATTTTTGTTTCAGTTTTCTTATTAGGTTTACTTTTTGCTATTGGTGCTTTTAACTGATGTTTTTTATCGTCGTTCAAAAGCCCGCAATCCTTTGATGAAGATATAGAAATTTTCGAATTCTTAACAGTTCGGTGTGATATTACTTTTTGTTGCAAAAAATCTATTTTGATAAATTAAATTATTATAGGATTAAATATTAAAAACGTAGATCAAAATCTATTCCTGATTTTTTTTAAAATACTTTTTCACGAAATTTGGCAATCCAGGTAATTCGACATGTTTAAACATACGATATACTAAGTATGTGCCGCTAACATGCAAGGCAACTTTTGCTTCAAATCGTGTAGAAAATATCACACCAATCAAACAAATAACAGTTATGATAAACGCAATAAAATCTACGTTATAATATAGCCATATTTTTATTCCTCCCTAACAAAACAAGAGCATCATCATTTTAATTAACGATTAAATCAAAAGATTAAGATTTTGTCGAGGATGAAAATTGATACTCACCGACTTATCAACAAGGAAATATAAATCTTTAACATATTTTCCCTCCTCGCTTTCCAACAGATCCTTGATGCGCTTCACCATCTCATCCCCTTGCTCCCCACTCTTAATCACTTGTTCCTTTCCAAACCGATCATCGTAAATCACCTCATAGGGATAATTAAAGGTGTTAATGTATCTCAATCGTTCCTCGATAAACACTGGTAGTTTCTCGTAAATTATGCGGGATTTATTAACTTCAAACTTTATGTCGCGTGTAAAATAAAGCGTTATCGTGTCACTTGGTGTGGGTTTTGGTGGTGTTGTTGAATCCTTTGTGAGGCGTTGTCGTGACATAATGTTGTTTGGTAATTTAAGATACTTTATACAGCCTTTTATAACGAATCAATGAGTAACGCGGTGATCTAAAAAAAAACCCCTTTTGAATACTTGAATCCAAAAGCTTGGTTAAACGGTTATTAAATCCACCCACACGTGTATCGAATATACATTTTTCATTGTATCGGTATCTATGCGTTACCCACGTTTCATACGTATTGGCGTAAAAAACGCATTTCACAAAACTTTTAGCCATCTATTAATATAAATATCGATCATTACCGAAACCAGTTCAACGGATGATAGATTCTACTCGGACATGCATCAATTCAAACTTGGAATTATAACTCGGAAAATACAATTGAACGCAAGTAATATACATATACATATATATATATATATATATATGTATAAATATTTCAAAAATTTTTAGCTTTAAATAAAATCATATTTTTCACTTCGACGTTTGTTTATTCAAAATTTGGCTCAAATATATTAAAAAAACATTAGTAGGTAATAAATTATATTAGGATCGAGCGATAATGAAGAGTAATTTATCTAAAGGAAAAAAATTATTTCATGGTTTTGCACTTTAACATAAACAATAAATCTCTTAAATTAACGGATTAATGACATTCCATTAATATCAAAAATAAAAAATAATGCTATTTTTCCCCCTTTCAAACAACAATAATCCTTTAATTGTCAAAAAATAATGTATATACAGAAAAAGCAGCAAAGTGAGGATGACGATGATGAGTAAGATGCAAAAGATAAAGAAACCGTCGTCGAAACGATAAAGAAATGATAATAAAGATAATAATAAGAAGAAGAAGAAGGATGTATAATATTAATGTATTAAAAGCACCAAGAATTAAAATAATTTACTCTCGAATGTTTCCTCCTTGCTGTGCAGCATAGAAAGTATCGATCCATAAAATTACATTAATACGATACAGTAATAATCTAAATTGAGGATGAGGCGATGATGAGTATCGAGGATGATCATATAACCTGAAAATGTATGAGTTTTTAGCATAGGATGATGTTATATTAATATCTTCTACCAGCATCAGACTTCATCCAAGTCATTTGCGGTTGCTGCTGCTGTTGTTGCTGCTGTTGCTGCTGTTGCTGTTGAGTGTTATTATTGTGCACGCTAAGACGTCTTACTGCTGTCTCAACTTCATGCGGAATCTCTCCTTGATTTTCTTCTACTACTTCTGTTTCTTCTCCTACACCATCTTCCTCCTCTGGTTGTCTTGCAACTTGATCTTCCGGTCTATCATAGGGTACGATAATCTCCATCTCAGTCGTTAGTGCAATTTCATTAGGATTCGTTTGTTGAGGATGCACCGATTGCTCAAGAAATTCTGGAACGGCTTCCACCCGCATCATCTGACCATATAATACACCATTAGTATTACTATTCTCTAATTCTATTTCTGCTAATGGTGAGTATACTTCATCGAATCCAACCAAGTCTAATTTTTCTCGAACACTTGTCACCCAATCGTGATTGTCCGGATTCTTTAAGAATTCAATTAATTTTGTAAATTCTTCCACTAAGATTCTTTCCAATTTTGCCCCGCTTAATTCTTTTGTCATTAATAGCACTCCTTGACCAAGTAGCTCACATAATATGCTTAGCCTCCATGCACAATTAAGACGATGCTTGCCCACCTCCTTGCCACCCGTTCGTTCTTTTATGTGTAGAGTCACCGTTGGATCAATGAACGATGAATATGTGGGATAAGGAAGAGGTGATGTAGGATCGTTTGCTAGTGAATTCCTCTTGACCGTAGAATTATTTGTCTCCGTTGAATGATTTTTCTGTCCAAGTTCATCCTTATAGGCATTATACGTTGTGAATAGTTTATACAACTCCAAATTTGAAAATACTTTGGAAGAGATGCCATCAATACGGGAAGTAGGTGGCGATTGAAGAAGATGACATAGTAAATTCAAACGTGGCGAACTCGGCACCGATGAAGAACTTGATGCTTGTTGAATTGACTGATAAGTGTCTTTAATTGCAGCTATTAATGTTTTAGATTCTTCAAGTCTTTGAAGTAGCGTGGGTTTCGTGATATTTACGAAAAGTTTTTTCACAGCCTCACAACCTTAAATTTTGATCAAGATAATTATTGCTTATTAACTAACTATAAAGAACGGGAAAACATGAATAAAAACTTACTACTTACTCAACGGTGGTGCTTTATGCTTCTCGGGGCTTCTTTTCTTTGCGGACTGTGCATTAGGTGCAGTGTGGTGAATGAAATTATCTTCTTCTGAGTTTGCACTACTAGCTCGTTTTCTCTTGTTAAGCGGGGTGAGTGTGTTATGATGAGGATGATGGGATTGCTGTAGATTAATTTGCGCATGACGCCACATGCTGTCGCTATTGATTGAATGATCGTCAACTGGTATCTCGTCTTTTGCTAATTCATCCATATCTTCATCAGCGTCATGTGAAATGTTATAAATTGATCCATCAAATCCATTTCCATTTGTATTATTAGAAATAGAATTACCAGTTAATCCAGGATGTATCACAAATGGAAGCCTTTGATTGCTATTGCTTGTGGGACTTGCATTAGTGCCGGTGGTATTATTGTTATTAGACGAGTGCGAAGCTTGATGTTGTAAATGTGGTGATTGCTGTTGTTGATGTGCTTGCGGATCTAAATCGAACTCCACCACGTACTCTCGTAACGGAGATGCCGATGATTCATCCCCATGGAAGAATTTAACCTTGTTATTTTGAAAAAAGCAACCTTTTAGTCCAATATCATCAAGTACTGCTCGAATGGCTGCTAGTATGGTTGCTAATTTTCGTGGTGATTCTTTAACTTTTTCGTTAATGACCTTCGCCAAAAGAATGAATTGGTCGTCTGTTATAATATCACTAATAGAAGGTTTAATAAGTTCTGGAGGCGGAAAAGTAGAATGTGACATATTTTGCCCTTTAGAATTTGTATTCGAAGTTTTATCTACTTCCATTTCATTGTCACTATCAATCGGGGCATGTTCCTCTGGTAGGGACTTGGCACAGTTGACAAATTCCACGATATAATTTTGTCCTTTATAAATGAACGCGACAGTTTTGCCGGAGCCAAAGATCGTTTTTGGAAAATATGGGTTGACTAGCATAGCCTTCAAAGCCGATAGTAGACTTGCTAAGGTGTACGGCGACTCGGACGCCTTATTCTTTACGATTTCGACAAGCTTCAGGATTTGCGCGTCCTTAGCTAGGTCGGCGATAGTCGGCCGTATGGAGTACTCGTGGGAAGGTGGTAGTCCGTCTCGCATTGTGAGAACTGGCCTAGTCTTGAATGTTTTCACGGCAAAAGTATTTTTATTGATAGGAGGCAATAAGGATAGATTTGGATTATTAATATTATTTATTACTGTTGATGCTGTTATTAAATTGCTTGAGTGATCTTTTTTGCTCTTTTGTGCCTTTTAAGCGTGTATGTGCGCGCGTGTAGTGTGTATAAAAGGCGAAAAAAACTGAGGTCGGTTTTTTCACCGGAAAGTAACAAAAATCAAGTATTATATTAGCAGGTTTCCAGCCTACCGCACGTCTAATATAATATTATCTAAGTTACTATGACACTTTCCAAGGTGAGAGTAAGTATGTTGAGTGAACTCGAGTCAAAAAAATATTTTAAAAAACGATGCGTATACTCCCAGTTTTGTGAGAAAAAAATAATATCTTCAATGAACAGGCGGAACCGTTCGGTATCACCCTTTTCAACGAATTTTGTTCCGCAAATAGTCCGCAATTGTAGTTCATAAGGTGGGACAGAGCTCGGCCCGTTTCTCCGGATTGGAAAGGATTGGATAATGGGATCAAATCTTTTAGGGATCCCCGATACGTTTTACTACGCCTCTCATTTAAAACAACTATGGATACTTTACAATATATTATTCTTTTGGTCAGATGGGTTACGTATAATATTTCTTTACAGAAAAGTCGGCAATCAATGGTCTAGCCTATTTAATATTTATGCATTTCCCCAGGCCGCATCACTAATAATAATGAATCTTATTTGGGGTTATTCATAAAAAACTGAGTTTTCGGAAATTTCGCACTGACTGAACGCAGGAAAACCAATCAGGAAATGCTCTTCCCTTTATTTTCTTCCCATCTTTATCGTATCGAGTAATTTTATTTCATCCAATGATATCGAACTTAAAGGATACTTAATTCCGTTCCTATAGAATTATATGCAACTATGCACGTTATATTTCATCATAAACCAAAATTTTCGCGCATATCACTGAACGGTCTTAATAAAGTAACCGAAACCTCTTTATTAACAAGGGAAAAGTTTTCTGTTTCCCTTCGTTCCTCCTGTTCTTTCATCCGTAATAACTTGAAATACCATCGTCATTATCATCAATCTCGACATTTTAATGGTAATAGACTAGGAACTTACAAAGAAAGCAGAAAACATTTAAAGAGCTCGATAGATAAAATCATCAAAGAGCATGACGGGGTAATTTATAGAGCACCACAAGGGACAAATCGGATCATGATATTTTGGCATGTTGCTGGAATATTACAATTGATATTTTGGCAAGTTTTGATCTCGAAGTTTGGATTCATCATCATTTAGAAAGTTCAATTAGATAATGAATGAATTTCTAGGCTAAATATTGCAGATCTGTATTGGCGAATATCAAACACAGACAAAGACAATAAAACTGAGGCGTATGTATTAAAACTGTGTAATCATGTAAAGCTTTGTTTGTTATTGATTCATAACGATGAAATCTCGATAGAAATGAAAAAACGGATGCACTTGTCCTCCCTCCTGCTGCTGCTGCCACACATACACCTACTTACAAACGCGTCCTAATAGTTGGAGGGATGTTGTTAATGGGAGCAGGTATTTCCGCTTTGACGTTTATTATACCTAACAGGTAAATTTTTTTATTTTTATCGTCGTTATTTTTTATGGTTGCAAAGAATCAACCAATCAATTGATGATTGATGTCATTTTTTTTCTGGCTTAGATCTATTATGTGTATACGAATTTTGAAAAATGGTAATGAAGCACAATTGGAAACTGGCCGAAAATTTTCATCGAAAAGAATCCGTAATTTTCAAATTGACGATTTGACTACTCGAGAATTGTTGTTACCTGAAACGAGAGTCAGACCGGGTAATTATGCTGACTTTGAAATTTTAATTAAATTGTTAAATTACTAATCAAATAAATTTGATCGACCCACTGTTCCAATTTCGGAAATGTGTATAGAAGTGGGGAAAGGAGGTGGGAAACATCTCCCAAACTACAGAGACGACGATGGTTCCAAAAATAAAAATTATCTTCAGCCAATTTTTATGCGTGCAAAAGGAGAACGAATGGGATTTATGTTAAGTCGATCGGGACATTTTGAAGATCCAAAGTTATTTGATTCGTTGTTTTACGAATGATCTTCGACAAATGTTTTTGGAGATCGAATTGCCCCATAATACGTACTTTTGGAACCCAAAATTTATCAAAAAAAGGCTAAATCAAATTTATCAAAATAGGCTAACAAAGGTAAGTTTCCAAGATTAAATTGAAATCGATGAAAATTTCGAGACTCGATACAATAAATTTTGATTGTTGTTCAACTATCGTAATCAATGCGGGATTTTTTGTTGTAATAATAATCGCGATGATATATGTCTTTTATTGATTCTTATCTTTATCATCAATAATAACTCCAAGTTTCCGACCAGCTGCAGCCTCAGTACAATAATACAAGGCTTTCAATTGTTCTATACATTTTTCCGGTTCTTTGGAATTCTTTGACAAACATTGATCGTAACCAATAATACTGGAATTACACTTTTGTTTTACTTCTCGAAGCTCTTTTATACTATTATAGTTATTATTAATGCTATATCGATTAAGCTCAAACCAAATCGTGAATTATGTTTGAAAACGAGTTTTTTTTTGTTTTTGTTTTGGAAGATAGAAGATAGAAAAGCGTAATGAACATATGTTAAATCATAAATATATTTACTTTTCATCCGCGCACTTGGTCAGTTCTTTCTTCAGTTTCAAACACGCTGAATTTGTGTGCCAATCTTGTGGATTTTTCTCAACACATCGTTGGTATTGGTCCAGTTGTGAGCTACAATATTTTACCACTTGTTCGAGCGTGATATCCATTATAAGTGAGAAAATTTTCATGCAGGTTAGCTAAGCCATCAAATCGCCTAAATATATATGTGTTGGGCAAAAATCTAGATAATCCAGGATTTGGTTTATACTTCGGCGGCTTATCCAGGATCATTTGTACAAGAAATAATTCACGTAAATAAGTATTTTATTTTGTATTTTTTGCAAAATAATGGAATCTTCTAATGCTGCCTCTTCTTCCTCTTCCTCGTCAGCAGCACAACGAGAATCTTTAACAAACATTCCACCTACAGCCTCAACTTCAACACAACCTTCACAAGCTTCAGCAATTCCAAATGAAATTCCAACGAAAAAGCAGCCCGTTGTCTTATTATGTATCGGGATGGCCGGGTCTGGTAAAACAACGTTTATGCAAGTACGTAATTTGTTTGATAAATGTAAAAACGAGGTTTTACCTAAAAAAACCCCCCCCCCCCCCAACGGAATTATTAAATATCTTTTGATTTTAGCGTCTTAATGCGCACTTGCATAGTATCAAGAAACCACCATACGTGATAAATTTAGATCCAGCTGTCACTCAATTGCCATTCACTGCAAATATTGACATACGAGATACAATCAATTACAAGGAAGTAATGAAACAGTAGGTGTCCCTTCGCCGATTTTGTTACTTGTTTTTGGATAAGAATTGATTTGATTGTATCGAGTTCAATTTCTAAAAACAATACTTTAGATATAATTTAGGTCCAAATGGTGGTATTCTCACAAGTTTAAATTTATTTACGACAAAATTTGATCAAGTGTTAGATTATGTGGCAAAAAGAGCGCCAACGCTAGAGTATGTGTATGCAATTACTTCACAAAGAAAAATTATAAAATATGATCTCAAAACTCACTGTCTTTCTATAATTAATCGAGTTGTTAGTCATATAATACTGGACACACCTGGACAGATTGAAATTTTTACGTGGTCCGCATCTGGAGCCATTATCACCGATGCATTGGCTGCCACTTATCCATGTGTCGTTGCATACATAATCGATACACCGCGTACAACAAATCCTGCTACTTTTATGAGTAATATGCTGTATGCTTGTAGGTAAATAAAAGGAAATTAAAGATATCGGACGCAATCAATAGGTGGCTACTCTACAATTCTTTGTGACCGGTATCATTAAAGGAAATCTGTAATTTTCTTATATACGTCGATTTAGTAGCCGAATACTAAAAAAATGAGATTTTTTTCTAGTATTCTATACAAAACCAAATTGCCATTCATACTGGTGTTTAACAAGATTGATGTTGTATCACACGAATTTGCCGTTAAATGGATGACAGATTTCGAGGCATTTCAACTTGCATTACAAAAAGAGACAAGCTATATGAATACTTTGATGCATTCAATGAGTTTGATGTTGGATGAATTCTATCAACATCTCAGAGTACTTATATTATCTCTATCTTTAACCTATTTAAATTTGAAAGGCGCATTCAACTTTCATTTTCTTTTTTAGCTGGTGGGTGTCTCGGCAATGACTGGTGAAGGAATCAATGAATTCTTTGAGGCGATCGACAAAGCAGTTGAAGAATATGAGACGTAGGTGAAATCTAATTCGACTAATAAATTTTTATTATTTTGAATTTTGTCAAAACGTTCAAATTTTTATCTTGACATTAGCGAATATAAACCGGAAATAGAAAGACTAATACGTGAAAAGGTAAATAGATCAAGAGATGACTTCTCTTTTTTTTTGGTTTTTCTATTTTAACATTTTAAATTTATATGTGAGCTTCTTTCTTTATATTTAGGCAGAAAGACAAGAAAACGAAAAACAGGCACAAATTAATAAACTGATGAAAGATATGGATGTTTCTGGAAAGGTGGTGAAATCACCGAATGGCATGTAATCTTTCTTTTAAACGTCCGATGATATGTTAGAGTAATTCTTTTAATCACATCTTTTTATTTCTTTCCTTTTGATATCAATTAACAGACGAAGATGACGAGGATGAAGACGAGGATGAGGATGATGAAGATTATGATGATGACACATTCAAAGGTATCAATATATCTAAGTGTGGCGCAGAAAAATTCTTTGCCAGCTTCTGATTTTACTACGTTGCTCACTGTTGTTTCATTTGTTACTCACAGAGGAAGATTACAAGGAGATTGAACGACACCAGAAAAAACTTGATGATCAAAGTTTCAAGAGGTGGTTGTCACAAGCAAATGAAGGTGGTGGCGGGATTTAATAATTACACATTATCATTGTTGTCAAGTTGCTTGTTTTTTATGTATACGTAGATGTTGCCTTGGAAATAAATTATATACGTAGCCGAAGCGCGGATTTTTTTGATAGCTTATTAATGCACAAATTGCATTTAATCAATTAGCTATTCTAATTGTATTTATCACGGAAAGTCACAAAGGAATATGAAGTTACAAATCGCGACGAAGAAAATCTTAAATGCAATTCATATCGATATTAGGTTAACCATATAGTAATTCATCCTGACCAGGTTTCTTTGACTACCTGATAAATGAGCAATGAATTTTACTTTTATTTATTGCATTCCCATCAATCTAATAAAATACAGAATATCATGTGTGATGATAAGAAAAGTAAAGTAAATATCATCATTCTCTTGTAGGAAAAAGATTATTATCAGTATACAAAACAATTGAATTTCTATCAGCAATTTTCCCACTCGCGTCATTTTTCAAGGGTAAATTCAAGTGATCCAAATGAAATGCGTTGAAAAATATTAGATCACCAGGCTCCGCCTCACATATGATCCCCAAATCTGGAAAAGTTAATTCTCCACCTTCAAAGTTTCCAAGTACAAAACATGCACAGAATCCATATCTCACATCATTCCGATCATGATGCTCCCGCACTGTTCCTGAATGCTTTCCACCCTGAACATCCTGCTCTTCTGGCTCCCCTCTTGCATTCCGTCTCTTTAAATTTAAATGCATTACTTGCCAATATCTTTGTTTTGACGCGCAATTACTCGGGAGCACAAGATCTGTATATCTTCGAGCGATATCCGAATGATATTGTTCAAGAGCTTCCCCTGCAATCTTGTTTAATAAAAATTGAAGCGGCAATGTTCTGTTTTCAAGAAAATTACACTCCCTTTCCGCAGTTGTTGTTGTATAAGAAATAGTAAATGGATGAAGACTAGATCGTATCCAAGTCCCATAGTGACGTGTGATACATCCCGCACGTCTTTTTTCATTGGGCTTTAAATAACTAGTCTCTATTTTCTTAATAATTTTCCTTGTTTCTCTATATGCTTTCTTCCGATCATCAGTTTCAAACATATACCTCTTTAATATATGAATTAACGGAATGAATGTTCCCTCCTTAAAAAATCCAACGACAAACCTTTTGTGTGGTTGCTTACCTATTCTTTGGAAAGCAAGTAACTTACTATCCAAGAATAGGTTGGTTTCTTTGATATTATTTCGATGAGCATTTTTAGCATCTCTTATTTCCTTATTCTTCTTGAACACGTCAACACAGACAGTAATAATGACTGTTTAACAATATCTTATATGAGTTAAATGCTTTTTGAGAACGAGAAACTTGATCATAATTCTTACGCGGGTCTTCAGAGTTTTCAGCTACTTTTTGTTTCTTATGAGCGACAGAACTAGTGGAGGAGGAACTGGCGATAGCATGAGAGGATGGACTGGACATGTTTTTGATAGAAGCAGAGCTTGAGGCAACTTATTAGACAGGATTTTACAAAAAATTTTGTAATTTCTATATGCAAGATTGGAGAACCTAAATATATTTACCATTACGTCTATATAAGTACTCAGTTTATCTAATGTTTTTCCGTGTTTGTAAAGTTTTGTTTTGTAAATAAGACGATATGATTTGATTCTTATTTTCCCATGTGGGATAGGACACCGATTTAAGATTGGTTTCGGGCATTTCTTTAAGGGTATTAATTATAGTGTCATATGTTTTAGACGAATTGGGTTTATTAACGTCCGAGGGGTGTCGTGTATTTTTTGAAGTTCATGTTCGGACGCTTTTTTTAAATGACTAGTTATTTTATTAAAAAATAACGACGTTGATTCAACTTGGCAAGTGATTCGCGTGTATCTCTTAGTTGTAATCTACGTTTAGAAGGTTTAGGCATATTCGAGTTTAAATTTTTTAGCTTAGCCATATGTATAGTTGCTGTCCAAACTCTGGGATTTGGGATTTGGGAACTGGACAAACGGGTCCAAAGTATATCATGTGATATTTGACGTTAATGAAGCATATATTTGTATGAAATCTTGGCATTAATTTTCTGTTAATTAACTATTTTAATTTTTTTTA